CTCAGGGCTATTGTGAGGTCTTAGTGGGATAGAAAGTATTTACCAGACATCTGGCTTGTAGATGGTGCTTGGTAAGTGTTAACTGAAATTCAGTTCTTTCAAGAAAAATTAAGAGCTTGTTGAGACCCTGTTGTTGTTGTTAGCTGCTGTCTAATTGTCCCCTGTCTATGGCAACCCCATGCATAATGGAGTGAAACACAGCCCGGTCCTGTACCAACCCCATGATCAGTTGCAGATAGGACCATTGTGATCCATAGGATTTTCACTGGGGATTGGGAATTTTAGGAAGTAGATCATCAGCCTTTCTTCCTAGTCTGTCTAAGTCTGGAAGCTCTACTGAAATGTGTTCAGTATCATAGCAATATACAATCCACCACTGACAGGCGGGTGGTGGCTGCACATGAGGTGCGTTGGCCGGGAATCAAACCTGGGTCTTCTGCTTGGAAGGCAAAAATTCTACCACCGAACCACTGATGCCTCACCTAAGTACTGAAAAATTACGGTGCACCTCCACTCCCACAATTAATTCAAATTAAGAACAATATATAATAAATAAACCTGAGGGAATATTGGAGTCCCTGGGGGGCACAAGTGATTAAGCCCTGGACTACTAATCGAAGGGTTGGCAATTCAAACCTATTTAGAGGTGCCTTGGAAGTAAGGCCTGGTGATCTGTTTCTGAAAGGTCACAGCCTTGAAAACCCTATGAAGTGCGGTTCTATTCTGCACACGGGGTCACCATGAGTCTAAATGGACTGAACGGCAACTAACAACAACAACATGAGGGCATCAGAGCTTTTTGGTTTTTTTTTTTAATATCAAATTCTTTCAAACTCTCTTTTCTTCTTTCTTATGTGTGTGTGTGTGTGAGTTCCCGCCTGCTTTGTTGGTGCCCTGTGAACATGCTTCATCTTCCAACTGGTTAAGCCAGCACTGAATTCTCCAAATACACAGGTCAAGGTCACAACCAGGGAAGTCAGGGAAAGTCCTGTGCAGGGTGTGGGCATCATGGTCAGGTTCACAGACACCAGAAAGTTTTCCTCTGAGGGTTTGTCGTCAGGACTCCGGCTTGTGGGCCACTCTCCTGGCCAGGCTGCCCCTTCCCTCTCCCCGCATCCCTGCAGCGGTCACAGCAGCAGCAGCATCGAGTCATCGCATGGAAAGTGCTCATACCAGCCTGTGTAGCAGCTGGCCCCTTGGATGCGTCGGTCATTTCACGTTTCAGGAGCTTTTCTCTTTCTAAAGCAGAACTGAAATTTTACCTGGGCTGTCAGCTCTAGCGACCTCAGAACTTTCATTTCCTTCTTATTGCATGGAGAAAGTACTGAACATTATTATTTCACCAAGAGAAAGTGGGTGCTGGGTGAGCAGAGGCTGGGTGGGGGTCGTAGTTCACACCTGTGATTCTTAGCCCAGGAGATCAGCAGAATCACCCAGGAGAACTAATTATAATGCAGATTCCTAGGCACCACCCAAGACCTACTCTAGGCTGGGCATGGAGGGCAGGGGTCTGTATTCTTTAAGTGCCCCTAAAGTGATTGTGATGACCCTCTAGGCTTGGGAACCACTGAGACAGAGAAACAAAGCCACTTGCTTGTTTCTGCTCAAGGGCCTTCCTGGAAGCAGCCGCAAGTTTTCATGCCTACTTATGTTGGATAGTCTCTCCCTCTCGCTGCTGCCTCCTATAACATTGGAACATACCGTTCAGTCAATTCCGACTCATGGCCACCCCATGTGTGCAGAGTAGAACTACTCCATATGGTTTTCAAGGCTGTGACTTCTCAGAAGCAGATTGCCAAGCTTGTCTTCTGAGGCACCTCTGGTTGGGTTTGTACTGTCAGCATTTTGCCTAGTAGCCCAGGACTTAACCATTTGTGCCACGCAGGGTTTCCTTTATTATGCCACTAATATGATATCATATGTGTTTTCATATTTCTTTCCTTGGCCAGATGAGTTGCTCAAGGGCAGGGACCATGTATGTCTTATTCACCTTTGTGTCCACTGCAGCAGGGCTGCCACATACAGTTGGGCAGGTTGTTTGCTGTGCACAGGGCTTTCAAGTTCCTAGAAAGTTATATATAAGAATCACTGGGAGATCTTGTTAAAATGTAGATTCTGATTCAGTATATCTGCTGAGAACTTGTTAGAAATGCAAATTCTGCAGGGAACTTGTTAGAAATGCAAATTCTTAGCAGGGGTTTGAGACAGAATGAACCAATTTGAAGCCCTGGCTGTGCAAAGGAGCTTGGCGCAGAGTTGGGGCTAAAATCCAGCCCAACTCACCAAGCCACAAGCCCTGATTTTGGCTTCTGAATGTCCAGAGGGAGGGACACCTTTTCTAACTGAACAAAGGTGCCATATAGGCTACTGCTGGTCCTGTCTGCTCCTAGCATTGCGATAGGATTACTGAAGCTAACATTTACAAGCCAGGCATAAAACTTAGTATTTTTAGTAGATGATGGGTGATCAGAGAGGGTTTGTTGAATTGAATTGAAAGCCCTCTTCTTCTTCTCTGTCTCTCAGAATCTTCTCATTTTTCAAGGCCCAGCCCAAATATTGCTTCTTCTTCCAGCCCCAATTCATTGCTTCTTCCTAGGAGACACAGTGGTCCCTGGTTTATGTCTCTAGAACAGCACTTTTTGGGGGTCTGACTTATGCTGGAGTTGGTCTCCCCCACTGCTCTCTGAGCCCCTCACAGGCAGGGGACACCTTATGCAGCTGTCTTGATCCTGGGAGTTTAGACTTCCTAATAAAGGTTCACGAAGTGAATGAACACCGCAACCCCGAATGACTCATCAGAATCTGGGCTTCACCAGGTTGTGTAAACATGTAGTAGCTTTAATCCCTATCATCTGAAACTGGAAGCTGAATTTCAGAAATCAGTGTTAATTCAACTCATGATATATGTGCATATGTACATACATGTGTATGTATACCAAAACCAAACCTGTTGCTGTCAGGTTGGTTCTGACTCATGGTGACCCTACAGGACAGATAGAACTATCCCATAGGGTTTCCAAGGAGTGGCTGGTGGATTGGAACTGCTGACCTTTTGGTTAGAAGCCAAGCTCTTCACCACTATGCCACCAGGGCTCCATGTGTGTATATATGTGTACATATATATGCATATATGTTGTTGTGTGCCATCTAGTAGATTCTGAATCAGCAACACTATATGGCAGAGTAGAACTGCCCCAGAGGGCTTCCAAGGCTGTAATCTTTGTGGGAGCAGATCGCCAGGTTTTTTCTCCCACGGACCTTTTGGTTAACAGCCCAGCTCTTTAACTGTTGCACCACCAGGGCTCTCTATCTCTCTCTCTCTCTATATATATATATACATATGTATATATATATATATATTTAACATCAGCTTTGTAGGCAGCACTGGGCCAAGTTAAATAGGTGATTGGCAGATGATCCTGATGATATGTGAGTGTGTGATGGAGTTTGCATTTTGGTTCCATGGATGCAGTAGGTTTGGGGGCAAGCCAGTTTTGGGTTGCCCCAGGTCTGAGATTTTAAAATAGACCCTCCTCAGGGGCTAATCTTTCTCCCCTTTTCCAGGGGGGAGGTGCAGAAGAGCAAATAACTCCCATAATTGCAGGAGGCCCTCCTCAGGGAGCTACATGGACCCTGAGATGCACAAATTATGTAGGACATAGTAGTAGGAAGTGAAACATACCCTATTAGGGCCAATTAGGGATGTTGTTAGGGAAGATCAGCGTGCACTTTTACTGAGTACATTAATCTGACTGAAGCATCAGGGTCTCTTGGAGGTCAAAAGAAGTTCAGGCCTCTTGGACTTTTTTGTAGTTCCTAATGTATGAAAATATGAGATTTTACAAATGTTATACAAACTGTAGTATATTTAAAACACTTACATTTAACAAATTAATATTTTTATCACAAAAATAAAAATGTAGTTTTATCATGTTATCCACAAAATAATTGCAGAAATTCTAAAGCAATATTAGTTCAATCTAGATGCTACATGACATGGTCCAGGATCAAGTATAATCCTACAGTGTAGCACGGTGACTCCAGGTATAAGCTCTTTTGTAAATGATGCCAAAAGTCTGAATTTGAAGTCTTTCTCAACCTGAGGTCTGGGTTAAATGGCTATCCTCTCCTCCCCCAAACGGTACTAGGTTTGCGTGGCATCAACGGGAGAACTTCGTGCCTATTATTGTACTTGTTCATTAAATTAATGGAAACTGAGAGTGTCAGCTGTAGAGGCTGTCACTGATGGAATGGAAAGGGGGGTGTTGGGAGGAGAAGCATGGGTCCTGTGACTCAAAGCCCTGACCATTCAAATATGCAAACTGTGGGGACTGCTTAGGTTTCTACTTGGGACTGCAAAGTAGGGAGAATTTGTTTCAAATTTAAGCACAGTTGGAAAAGCACAAGACTGTTCTTAGAGAATCATTTTAGCTTTTGGACCAAGTGGGCTCTTGGGTAGCCACCTCTTGAGTTAGATGTTACATACAGTGATTGAGAATGTGTCATGACTATAGGCTAGGGTTAATGAGGGCAGTTTTCTGGCAAATCAAGTCCTTGTTTATGCACATTCTTTCCTCCTTGGGAGATGAAGTCATATGCTCTTCTGGGGGCCCCCTCTAAGTTATCCCTGAAGGGGTGGAGGCACATGGCAACTCCTTTTTGAGGTCAAGTTGATGGAGAAAGTTCTATTAATGGTATAATTTGTAGAAAACTATAATCTTCCATGGCCCCAGATTGAGTCCTGGCCCTGGACTCAGATTGACCCCTGAGCTTGGCCAAAGATGGAAATCAAGGGGAAAGACAAGTTAAGTTTATATTGTGGGCCAGGAGTCAGCAAACTTTTTCTGCAGAGGGCTAGAAATAATATTTTAGGCTTTGTGGGCCATAAGTCTATAGCAACTACTCAACTTTGCTGCTGTAGTTAGAAAGCAGTCATAGACAATACATAAATGAATGAGTTTGGCTATATTCCAATAAAATTTTTTTTATAAAAACAGGTAGCAGTGGATTTGGCCCATGGGCTGTAGTTTGCTGACGCTTACTCTGGAATACCACATACAGAAAACTCTGCACTGTCAAGAAATATGAAGTCTGCATGGTCTCAGAGAACATCTAGCTCAACTGGCATAACACAGTTTATAAAGAAAATGTTCTACATTCTACCTTGGTGAGTAGCTTCTGGGGTCTTAAAAGTCTGTGAGCAGAATGTCCAGAGGTACTGGATATTCTAAGATACTCAACTGGTCTCACCCCTTCAGGAGCAAGGGAGAATGAAACAAACAAGATACAAGGGAAAGATTAGTCCAAAGGAGCTAATGGACCACAACTACCATGGCCTCTGCCAGACTGAGTCCAGTACAACTAGATGGTGCCCAGCTACCACCACTGACCGCTCTAACCAGGATCACAACAGAGGGTCCTGGACAGAGCTGGAGAAAAATGTAGAACAAAATTCTAACTCACAAAAAAAGATGAGACTTACTGGCCGGACAGAGACTGGAGAAACCCTGAGAGTATGGCCCCCGGATACCCTTTTAGCTCAGTAATGAAGTCACTCCCAAGGTTCACCGTTCAGCCAAAGATTAGACAGCCCCATAAAACAAAACAAGACTAATGGGGCACAATAGTCCAGGGACAAGGACTAGAATGCAGGAGGGGACAGGAAAGCTGGTAATAGGGAACCCAAGGTTGAGAAGGGACAGTGTAGATGTGTCCTGAGGTTGTTAACGATTGTCATAAAACAATATGTGTACTAATTGTTTAATAAGAAACTATTTGTTCTGTAAACCTTCATCTAAAGAAGAAAAAAAAGAAAAGAAATATCAAGTCTAAAATATGACTCGATAAAAGGGACCTCCAGCTTAGGTAGGCTTGAGTCCCAGATCTATTACTTACAAGCTGTTGGTCTTTGGAAAAACCCATCAGTTCTGTCATCCTCAGGCTTCTCATTTGTAATATGGGGATTATAAAACCTACTCCACCTACCCCAGGATTATTGTGAAGCTTGAATGAACTGTAACACATCAACAGAAAGAAGCTCTTGCTATTACTATTACGGAATTGTAGAAACACCTTATGAGTTAAAGACTCTCAGCTCCTTAATGGTAGTTGTTGTTGTTGAGTGCCATTAAGTCCATTCCAAGTCATAGCGATCCTGTATGACAGAGTAGAGCTTCCCTATAGGGTTTTCTTGGCTGTAATCTTTACAGAAGCAGATCGGATGTCTTTCTCCCATGGAGCTGCTAGGTGGGTCGAACCGTCAACCTTTCAGTTAGCAGCCAAGCGCTTAATTGTTTGCACCACTAAGGCTCCTTTTTCTTAATGGTAGACATGGTGCTCATTCACCATTGAATTATCAGCACCATCGTAATGCCTGTCATATATTGGCACTCTGAATAAATTTGTTGACTTTATAAATGAAATAGATAAAATGTTTCCTTCTTTCAAATCAGTGCAATATTATTTAAATAGACTGGAGCAGTAGAAACCTACAGTAAAATGATTTGAAAAAAGGATACGGGCCATTTAATTTTTGGAGTTTAGCTACATTTGGTGAGTGTTTCTAGGCCAACTTGCCCAAACAATTTTGGACATGCAGAGAAGAGCTCCCATCAGGATATTACATGTACGTTTCCAACTCCACTCAGATGTATTTGGAAGTGTTCCATAATTGAGGGAGGGTTTTCCCTCAGGCCTTTAAAGATTTCTCATTACTAGTGTTCTCATCACATGAGAATCCTAAGCTCTTTGACTGAGTGCCCCTGGGATATCCACTTGTTTCAACATCACATCTTATGGTTGGACATGACCATGTGTGCAAACTCCCTGGACTCATGATGCCAGCTTGTTAAGCAAGTCAAGGGTTTGTTGGGTGTTTTGCAGGTGTGTCATTGCCAAAATAAAGGTTAGAGATAACAATCTGTTGTGAATACTGCTGATGCCAATTAAAAAGAAAATGACACAAAAATGTTGGTTATGGCCATATCCTCCATCCAGTGGAATAGCCCTATTTGTCCATTCTGGAGACAGCAGTAAACTGTGGAAAGAAAATGAGCTTTGAAGGCAGCCAGGCCTGAGTTAAATCAGGACTACATCATGTAAGACTTACATGGTCTTGTACAGTTTACTTAATCTCAGTTTTATCATCTCAAGGTTATGGTGTAAATAAAATCAATTGATGTCAATGAAATCTCTAGCACAGCGCTGCTGGGAACGATTCTTGGGTGGGAGTGGAGGAAAGTCCTGAGAGATGAGGATTGTTGTGATCTGGGCAGGCCCCCATGAAGGGTCTACTACAATGGACTTCTTCCAGAGCTTTCTCTTCTGCTTATCATTTTAAGGGCCAGTAAGACTACTCTTGGGTGAGTGTAGATAAAAACTATTCTTGATCAGGGAGTAATGTGGGATGTTATGAATTGAATGTGTTCCCCGAAAAGAAACATGAAAGTCTTAATCCCATTACTTATAAATATGACCCAGTTTAAAAACAGGGGTTTTCTTTGGTTATGTTAATGAGGTCATACCAAGCAGGGTGAGTCCAAAACCTAATCATTTCTGAGTTGTGTCTTATAAAAAGAGCAGAACAGACAGGGAGAGACACACACACTGGGGGATGACAGATGCCATCTACAAGTAGCCAAGGAACACCAAGAATTGCTAGCAGTCACCAGAAACTAGGATAGATGCCCACAAAGGAACCTTAATTTGGGCCTTTAGCCTCCAAACCTATGAGAAAATAAATAAAAAAGTCAACCACATGTGGTATCTTTTGGTATGGCTGCAGGAGGTAACTAAGATGTGGGGGAAGGGTCCTTGGACAGTGTTAAAAGCAGTGACCAAAAGGCTAGTGGGCAGGAAGGAGGCCCTGAGTTACCATCCCAGGGAAAAGAGCCACCAGTAATGACCCTTTTGTCCTTTCCCTATTAACAGTTCCCTCCATTAGCTTGTATAATAAGGATTTGTCTACATCTAATATAATGCAGTTGCTTTAGGTAACAATTTGAGAGTACGGTTTACTGGTTGGGAGGATAGGCTGTAGACGTAGACTGCCTGCCTACTGGGCAATTTTAGGGCATCTCCATGAGATACTGTGCATTAGTTGGGAAGAGTAATATGCTTTGATTGTCGTTGTGAGCCGATTCGGACTCATAGTGACCCTATGGAACCCTGGTGGTGCAATGGTTAAGTGCTCGGCTGCTAACTTGAAGGTCGGCAGTTTAAACCCACCAGACACTCCTAGGGAGAAAAGATGGACGATATGCTCCCGTAAAGATTAGAGTCTTGGAAACCCTCCGGGGAGTTATACTCTGTCCTATAGGGTCACTATGAATCTGAATTGACTCAATGGCACCTAACAACAACAACACTGGGCAAATTAGTTGGCTTCTCTGAGCCTCAGCTTCCTTATTCCTGAGGATAATAATAGTCACTATCTACTCTCCCTGTCTTTTCCCTGCCTCATGGCTTCTGCTTACTCATAGCTCTGCATGCTTCGCATTGCAGCTCACTCATGGCCTTCAAGGCTAATCACTGAGGCCTCTACTGGGGCAGAACTGTGCCTTTCAGACCCCTCAGAAGCTGCTGGTCAGCCCACGGTTGACTCCTTTGGGTCAGATGCCCACCTGAGGCCTAATCAGTATGGTCAGCAGGGAGACAGGGTGCAGTGGCATCACTATAGGGCGCAGGGAGTACGGACCATACTGGGTGACCCTGTTATAGGGGATGACACCAAAATTATTGTCTATAAAAATATCCCTGTAGTTAGTTACAACAACAGAAACATTCTTCATAAGCCCAGCTTCCAAAAACCCACCAAACCCACTGGTTTGACTCATAGCGACCCTATAGGACAGAGTAGAACTGCCCCGTAGGGTTTCCAAGGAGAGGCTGGTGGATTTGAACTGCTGACCTCCTGGTTAGCAGCCAAACACTTAACCACTGTGCCACCAGGCCTACAAGCCCGGCTTACAGGAATCAATATACCTACAAGGCTAAAACTCTATGCTAATTTACTCAAAAAGTAAATTAAAGTCAGAGCTGTCATTATTACTTCATTACCATAACACTTCAAATCATGTGGTTTCCTCTGCACGTGTTACAAACACGTGCTATTGTTTTTGTTGCCGCCAGTGTTTTCATAGTCACTGATTTTGTCAAATTTTCTGGTGTTTTAGCTACAGTATTGTGGTAATTAGTATCTGTGAACCTATATCAATAACTCTTTTGAGAATTAAGGAGTAATTAAAGGAAAAGACGGAGTGATCTATGGGAAATATGATTTACAAGTAACATTAGTACAAAAAAATTACTAAGGATTCTGTCTGATGTGGTACTGGCAGAGGTCCATGGTGGGAGGGGTGATATTATGAGTTACCATACTGGGTGATACCAACCCTAGTGACATCACTAACAGGGTGGAGTGAGCACATAAAGCAACACAGGGCTGGATGCTCAGTCAGGGACTATGGATGGGACCATTTCTCATAAGGGATTGTGGGCACCATGAGCCCCATGATGGATGCTCAGTGCACAAAGAGAAGACAGCTTTAATGCAAGGTAGACGGTGGTTACTGCAATAACAGAAATGCTGATAAAGGGCTTTCCAAGTCCAGATGAGAAAGAACTTGCTTTCTAGCTAGGGGAGTAAGGAAATGCTCACGGAAGGAAGGGCCTCCTCAGCATCTACTCCTCACTCCCCTAAGCTAGTCAAGGCCTTGTCCTGGAATTAAATCTTGAGGTCAATCCTACCCAAACCTTATGACGGGGAAATTCAGGAGCTGCTACAACCAGCCTATTCCCTCTCCTGCCACAGGCATTAATTCGAGGATGAGTGTGTGACAAAAGTTGTCCAGTCATGGACAAAGAGACCTACCAGGAATCAGAAGCTCTCTTCTCTGCTATATTTGAACATGGAAGCATGTAATCTGGGACGTCACTGGTAGCCATCTTGCAGGGGCAAAGTGAGTGCCTTTTGAGAACAAAGATCTCACTGAGGAAGTAGAGCTGGGAAGGAGGGGAGAGGAGAAAGAGAGAGAGAGAGAAAGAAAGAAACTGGGCCCTGGACACCTCGTTTGGCAAAGTACAGGGAGTAGAGGGCAACACTGAACAGTTCTATTTGATGGGAACATTGGAGCAAGGGTGTTAGTATTGGAAAGGTAGTTTAAAAAG